CACCTCCGGGGCAGGCGGGAATCGAACTCATGCGGAAGCGGCTTTAGATTCTCAGTGCTGTGCTTTAACCCGCTGCGCCACCAGGGAGGGCCCCTAATTTTATTTTTTATTGAAATAATATTATGTGGGTTTGAGGTGTGCAACATTATAAATCATCTGTATTTGCTGTATAAATGTTCAAGGCTGATTCATTTTTAAATCCACTAATCAATGAGAAGTGAACTGTTTAAATTTGTATCCTTTTGAATCTGTTAAGTGATATTACACATTGAAATTAAATGTCTAATTTTGAATCAAAATTAAAGTATTCATTAAATTCCTCTTAAGCAATTTGAATGTACCATAAAAGTGTTAAGTATAAGTAACTTGCCAGGAGCTCATCTAGTTCAGTATTCCATTGTTGCTATTTAACTATGTATAGAATGGAATTATGATTTTCCTGCTTAGTGATCCTAGTGGCTATGGTTTTCCTGCAGATATCCCGGTTGTGTTTTCCCTGTTATTTAAAATGTTATTTGTTCCAAGATCCCAAAAAGCCTTTTCTTGACCACATATATTAAGTGGCTCATAATCTGCTTATTTTCTTCACTGTACTTATCATTTAATCATATTTTTATTTTTATACCTGTTTGTTTTGCTGGAATATTAGCTCCACAAAGTTAAAGATTTTTCCATCTTGTTATGTTCATCTAGAAGTAGTCTATCACATAATATACATCTTAGAATTTTTAAAAATTCTTTTTTTTATTTGTTGTGGTAATATTGGTTTATAATACTGTATGCAATTCAGAGGCATAAGATCATACCTCTTCAGATGCATGTTACCACACCACACCCACACCAGTCATAAAAATTTTTATAGAAGAGAACAATAATGTAAAGTTCTTAAACTGAACTTTTTTTTTTTAGTTAGACTATTTACATTTAGATTTTTAAAAAAGATTTATTTATTTATGCACACAAGAACTGGGTTACAGGCAAGAGGCGTGGGGGTGAGAGTTTTCACAGAAGCCAGGAGAAGCAGAACAGGCAGATTGACTAAAATAGAGTGCTGTGGGGAACAGCAGCAGGCAGGTCAGGAGAAGTCTCCTGCACCATGAGTGTCATCTCCCTGCCTGGGATCGAACTTGTACTGCATTGGCTATGACTAGCTTCGTAGTACTGTGCTTTAACTGGTTGCAGCACCAGAAAGCCCTCTTAAACTGAGCTTTTAGGTTTTCCCAAATGTAAGATCGTATCGTGTCTTAACTAATCCCGTCTTAACAGTTTCTAGATTTCTGGCCTTTGTTATTCTTCAGTTTTCTTTTTTGAGGTAGCTAAAATTGTTTCATATGTCTAATGTGTCTGACATGGCACTAGTGCTTTATATATATTACCTAAATTCCTACAACTAGGTATTCTTGTTTTCATTTTACAAATGGGAAATTACTCATTTTAACAAGTTTTTACTTAGTTTTTTTAATTCACAGTCTATGCTATATTTCTTTTTTTTTTTTTTTTAAGATTTTTTTTTTTTTTTTTATTTATTCATACAGAACTGGGCTACAGGCCAGAG